CTCATCTTTCTCCTATTCTTTAACAGGAGCCGGCCTTATCACAAAGTGAGGAGGAATCTTGGGACTCTTCTGACGGCATCGCTTCCTACAGGAAGCCGACACATTCCCAGTAGGCCACTTAGCCCTTATCGGAATTTCGTCACGTCTCTGTGGCCTCTGTACAGCGGATGTGTGTCGCCTCTTAGGTAACACTGGGAAGTGTTTGCAGCCTCCGCTGCTGCCTTCTGGTTGAAGCGCTATGGACAAGAACAACAACAAACGGTGGTATATTACTCGAGAGCAGTTGGAAAATAGCCCATCCCGTCGTTTTGGAGTGGACTCCGATAAAGAACTTTATTATCGCCAGCAAGCGGCCAATCGGCTTCAGGACATGGGACAACGTCTTAACGTGTCGCAGTTGACTATTAACACGGCGATCGTCTACATGCACCGGTTTTATATGGTTCAGTCATTTACACAGTTTCATCGAAATTCTGTGGCTCCAGCAGCTTTATTTCTAGCAGCGAAAGTAGAGGAGCAGCCACAAAAATTGGAGCACGTCATCAAGGTGGCACATGCTTGTCTCCATCCACAAGTATCACTTCCTGATATTCGGAGCGAGGCTTATCTGCAACAAGTTCAGGATCTGTTAATATTAGAAAGTATAATTCTGCAGACTTTAGGCTTTGAACTTACAATTGATCATCCACATACACATGTAGTAAAATGTACTCATCTTCTTCGAGCAATCAAAGACTTAGCACAGACTTCTTACTTGATGGCAACCAACAGCCTGCACTTGACTACATTTAGCCTGCAGTACACACCTCCTGTGGTGGCCTGTGTCTGCATTCATCTGGCTTGCAAGTGCTCCAACTGGGAGATTCCAGTCTCAACTGACGGGAAGCGCTGGTGGGAGTATGTTGATGCCACTGTGACCTTGGAACTGTTAGATGAACTGACACATGAATTTCTAGATATTCTGGAGAAAACACCAAGTCGGCTCAAACGTATTCAGAGTTGGAGGGCATGCATGCAGGCTGCTCGGAAAACAAAAGCAGAAGACCGAGGAACAGATGAAAACACTTCAGGGCAGATGATCTTCAATATGATTTCCCAGAGCTCTTCAGACACGACTATTGCTGGTTTGATGAGCATGTCAATGTCTTCTACCACAAACACAGTGCCTTCCCGTCCAGCCGCTGAAGAGTCATCGAGCAGCTTGAGCAGTGTGGAGATACTTCAGGGTGATGGTTGGCAGTCTTCTCAGCCTGCACAGGGCCATCGGACTAGTGAGAATATAGCACTTATAGGAGTTGATCACTCCTTGCCACAGGATGGTTCAAATGCATTTGTTTCCCAGAAGCAGAGTAGTAAGAGTGTGCCATCAGCTAAAGCGTCACTGAAAGAAAACCGTGCAAAGCATGCAGAAGAGTTGGCTGCCCAGAAGAAACAGCTGGAGAACATGGAGGCCAACGTGAAGTCACAGTACGCATATGCTGCTCAGAACCTCCTCTCCCACCATGACAGCCATTCTTCAGTCATTCTGAAAATGCCCATAGAGGGCTCAGAAAACCCTGAGCGGCCGTTTCTGGAAAAAGCTGACAAAACAGGTCTTAAAATGAAACTCCCAGTGGCAGGTGGAGAAAAGGTTACCTCTTCAAAACCAGAAGAGATAAAGATGCGCATTAAAGCCAATACTGCATCTGAGAAGCACAATTCTGTAGAGGACAGTGTCACAAAGAACCGAGAGCACAAAGAAAAGCACAAGACTCACCCATCTAACCACCACCATCATCAGAATCACCACTCACACAAGCACTCGCACTCACAGCTCCCAGCTGGGACTGGAAACAAATGTCCAGGTGATCCAAAACATAGTGGTCAGACAAGCACCTTACCACACAAAAGCTATAGCTTGTCTAGTTCTTTCTCCTCTTCTAGTTCTGCTCAGAAAAGACCCCCCCCCCCATGAAGAGAGTGGAGGAGGAGCAGTGTTTGATCATCCAGCAAAGATTGCCAAGAGTACTAAATCTTCTTCCATAAATTTCTCCTTCCCTTCTCTTTCTACAATGGCCCAGTTGCCTGGCCTAGCGCAGATACAAGTGGCCTTTCCTTCTCACAGCCTATCTGTAAAACTAGAGTTTCTCATATGAAACTGGAAAAAGGATCCACTGGGGCCAATGGTCACACCACAACCCAGACCGTAGACTATCAAGATACTGTGAGTATGCTTCAATCTCTGCTCAGTGCTCAGGGTGTTCAGCCTGTCCAGCCACCTGCATTTGAATTTGTTCATTCTTATGGTGAATATCTGGATCCACGTGCTGGTGGAATCTCCAGAGCTGTCAATACAGACCAACGCCGGCCACAACCTCTACCATCAGAAACCCCTCAGCCACTCCCTCCCCTCCTTAAGTCAAAAAGAAAATGAGGCAGGGCAGGGGACTTCGTTAAAAATACACACACACACACAAAGGTTTTTAAGAAAAACAAAACAAACTACTGATTCTGGACTAAAAGTTACTTCCCTTATGAAATAACGTCATTCTTTTTGGACTAATAAATTGATATTGAGAAGTGTAAAAAAAATTGGACATGACTTCTGAAGATACATCAAGTGGAAAATCAAAGAGAGAATATGCTCAACATTCTGTCACTTCCATGGTTGATCCAAATTCCATTCTTCAGTCTAATTTTGAACTGGACATTCCAATGGACCCAAATGAAATCTTTCAGCAGACCCTTCGATGCATAACTGGGGCACAGGAACCACAGACAGTAATCCTGACAAAATCAGAGAGCGCTCAGCACGGTGGAGTGCTGCCTCACACAGAGACCCTTGGTGGATTGCAAGTACTACTGCCCTCAAGCCAGATGCTTGTACAGACAACATCCAAAGAATAAATTTCATCAATTCTCTAAGTTCATAGGGTCTCTGGAGACAAGGTATTGCAGAAGTGGATGCCACTCCTGCTTCCAAGCTTATTTTAATAGGGAAACTCCACCAAATACTGTCCACCATAGGTGAACATTATCACATTTGACACATCAGGGTCACAGTGTTTAGCATCACAGTAACCATGAGTTACCTCTGTACAGAAAATGGACAGACCATTGCTATACCACTTAAAGGAATGTTTGACCAAAACCAATTTAAGTCACAGATTTAAATCACCCAGTTTTGGCTTGGTAACACCACTTTCTATGCACTAGGTCAACAGAACTCTACGTTGTTGTTGCTAAGTACCATCGAGTCATGATTTACTGTCTCAGAAAACCCACTGGAGAATCAGCTATCAGTCATTTCTTGCTCTATGGTAATTACCAATAAACCATTTTGGGTACTTCTTATGCATTTGAAAGATGGGCAGTGAATCAAGATGACAGAAGAATTAATGCATTTGAATAGTGATGGTGGAGAAGAGTACTGTCTATCCCATGGACTGCCAAGACAATAGATAACTATATCTTAGAGAAAGTGAAAACAGGGTGTTCCTTAGAAAGATAGATGGTGCAGCCTCCTGTCACATACTTTAGACATGTTGTTTGGAGGGGCCAATCCTTGGAAAAAGACATCATGCTAGGATAAGGGGAGGGTCAGCAAAAAGGGAAGTGTACTCGGGGTGGGGGGTGGTGGGGGAAAGGGACATGGGGATTGTAAACTAATGAAGGAATTTTTTTTCCCTTCGCAGGGGAAAGGAGCTGGTGGGGAGGGGTGGGCAGGGAGAAAAGTGCGGCAATGAATGAATGGAAATCCAAAACCTCTATAAATGTCTATTAAAATTAATAAAAAAATAAAAAACAAAACAAACAAACAAAAAATAGTGTTCATAAGCTGTGAGATCTTTGGCGACAGAGAAGAAATCTTATTAATATTTATCCCGCTTGCTTTGTATGCTGTGGATTTTCAAAATGCTTTTTGACGGATCCATAGAAAAGTAGTTTTTTAAAGATCTATCTGAAATATGTTTACGACCTTGAAATAAATATTTCATAACTCGGTAAAAAAAAAGTAATTTCTAGATCCATCTTGAAGTACAACATTGTGAGGGATACGATTATATCCATACACTTACAAGGAAGTCCAGTGAATAGCACTATCATTCAGGTATATGCACCAACAACCAGAGCCAAAGAAGAAGAAATAGATGATTTCTACCAA